GGTAAAACTTGTTGAGACTAACATCAGTACTGCTACGATAGAGCAAAATAGGCCACTATAAATTATTACAATGGCAGATCCTATAAGAGCATACGCTGCTGTGGCCAGGAGTTTTCTGAGCGATGTGATATTTCTGCTAAGATGTGCTTGCGTAAAAATGCATATAATTTTACAATGCTCTTATCAAGCATACATTCACAACAACCGTGCATTCTGCATTTATCAGCTTGACTATATTGGTGGGAATAGCAGTCACGCGCGAAATATTTAGAGAAGACGTATATAATCAATCGGCCACTACGGTGCCGTAAGCCTCATCGCCTTACCACGGTAGAGATACGCATTGGTTTACCTCAAAAACTGCTATTCCCATTGATTTCGGAACAGCGGCGACGTTTGATGTTACTGAGTTCTCCTCAACATGCGTCTCTACCCTATTTTGCCTTACCCTATTTTGACGAGTATTCGATTGTTAATACATACATAGTGTACAAATTTATCAAACACATCCTGTTTCTTAAATAGCGAATTCTAATAGCAGGCGATGCCGGTTCCGCTTTGCCGAATGGATATAGGTAGCCTACACAGAGTAGTTCAAAAACGAATAAGCAAAAGTTGAAATAATAAAGGAAACACTCTCTTCTACGAGGCCGTGGGCCGCCGTAACATCGTGTTACTACTATTCGATGTTGACACTTTTATACTGCAAAATCATCTCCCGTCTTTTTTGACAGATATCGCTTAGCAAATCTACGATTGTGACGAATTCACTGCTTACATACACTTATAGATGGAACCGGCCTCGTCCTTCATTTGAAGCTAGCTACGATAAACATGTTAAAATGATAAACCAAATAGAAAAGCTTCCGAACTCATAATGCTTGATTGTCCACGGTAATACTCCTTGGCAAAAACATTCTAACAGAGAACCTAGAACAAGCCATTAAGTTCCACTTTAAATATTATACAAACTATTATATATCAGACACTTGTCAAAGTGCCTTGCCGCGCTTGTTGGATGACGTTATAAGAAGCGCATTAAGACATGTACAGTAAGATAAATACACTGTTATACAGCAAGGAAACTCAAAAATACGCCTTTTCATGACACGAAAGTACGGTTATTATAGAACGTGAGCTGTCAAAAAGACTATCAAAAGATCGACGCAAATCAGGAGAAGAGAAAAATTAGCCTAATATTCGAATGTGGGATCGAATCCGAACGCTGCGGAAATTATAACCTGCAATCTAAGTAGGCATATGAATCTTGACAAGTTAACTGCCCTACCGTTCGATAGCCAAACAGTGGAAGCGCCAATGATCTATCAACAATGTCTCACTGGTATCTTCTGCTTCAAAGCAAAAATTGAATTTTTCGGCCGGGCATCTGTTTCTCGTTTATGTGATAGAAAAGTCAAATCAAATGAGTAGTAGTCTATGCTCGACTCTTGTCCATCTAATCAAGTTCACAATAAACTCCATAGTTTTCACTTTTGACTTTTGTGTTTGATTTTGTTGAAAGAGAACCAGCGGGCGTACATTCTCAGTAAACGCCGCATAAATGTCGTGATTCCTTAAGGTTGCGAGTCAACCCGCTAATCCGGATATTTTATCATTGTTGTATCAAAACGATCATCCGCAATAAATCCTGAGTTTATGGGGCGTTACAAAGCGCAGCTACGGAAATCTTTTGAACTGGCTGCAAATTCATATAGTCACTTTTAGCTGTTTAATACTAAGTGTGGTAATCAAATACTATACGTACTTTTTCTACATACAAGGGATACTCGAAAAACATCCTTGATAAAAAAATGGGATAAAAATTGTATCTTGAAAATAGACAACTACCTGCTATTTTCTGATATACTGAGGAAAAAATTACTTGACAAACGCAAGCGTCACCTGCTTTGTTTGAAATTTACATGGTAAACATTAGGACATATGGTCGGTGTAGGTTCAAACCCAGCCATACACACTTTTTGTTTCATGCTGGGAGCAAACCCTTTAAAGTAATGCCTATCGGCTTAATTACCGGACGTCAAACATGAAAAGCAATTCGACTGCCACAGGCAAAAAAAAAACACTCAGTGTGCAGAATTCGCCGACACGGCGACCGGCCAAAATGTTAACTAATTGATTAGATAACCGAAGAAACCAGTCAAACAGGTAATAAAATAATAGAAAAATAGTTTATTATAACTTTTTCTGTTGATTATAATACATGTATTGAAGATGACTATATACATAAATACTTGCAATCCAGCTGCAGCGCTTAGCGCGGAACTAATTGCAGTTGTTAAGGTTGCTTATTTGTAATAATAACCGCGGCCTTTTTCTAATGAACTCCTAATTCTTGTGAAGTTTTTCGGCACTCCTATGAACAGGACTGACCACGGTTTATCAACTTACATATCGTTCTAAAGACATATAAGATGAGAGATGTAATCCTTCAGTTTTATTGCTAGTACAAAGACCAAGGTTCCAGTTACAGAGGTTTAATCACAACGGGATTTGAAATGCTAACACCAGCAGTCTAGTCTTTAATACTGGCATCCTTTCTTTTTTGTACTTTTCGTTATTTAGTTTTAATGTTTTTTCAGTATTTTGCAACTTTGTTCACTGATTAGCGAGCCCTATCCAACAAACATATCTAAAATCGATCTATAGTGTTAATTCAACATGCTTTTATATGCCAAACAGGATTATAACTATTTTTTAAGTTTTACTTTTTTCCGTGCTCTGGCTACTAACGAAACTGCACTTACAATATGGCTATTAACACAAGTCTAGCAACCTACTTGCTTGCACTTCAGACAGACCGTAGTTAGTTAAAAAAATAACCGTCTTAATAATAATTTATTTGAGAAACCTTCACAACGACATTCCACTACTGTTATTCTACTAACAGTCATTGATTTTTAGTAATTAGGCAGTGGGTTCTAGCGTACATCATATCCTTTGCAGACGAAGTTATGGTTACACCCTATTGAATGCATGCGCATATAAAATGAAAGCTACAAGTTTTTTTTGAAGTTTCACACAATTTTGAGCTCTGTTAGAATTGTTTACAGAGGAACGTTTTTAAGCCTTGGCTTTAGTATTTTTCAAGCGCATTAACAGGAAAACAATTGAAGAAATTTTCTCATATGCCATAAACATGAAAGCGGCTGTAAAGACTGTTTGAAGCAATTTTGATTCAAGACCCTTGAAAAGTCCAGCAACACCAAAATTGCGAATGATGTATAACATCATCTCGATCATAGGCCTGTGATCATTACTGTGGCGCATCTTCGATTGTACCAACTGAAATAGCATCATAGAGAAATAGAAAAGCGTCATTGTTATTAAAAAAAACGCATAATCTTATTGGGCATTATGATTTATTGGCCAAAGTAAGGCTTGGAAAAGAAACTTCTACATTAGAAATTGCACATCGTCTATTTTTCTAGAAATAATGACATTTATATAACTTGATGAGGATTCTAGCTACAGACTTTTACCTCCCTCCATACAGCCATATCACGGCGAGACTAGATCCTTGAAGGATGACAAAATTATCTAGAAAGAAAGCCTTTCAGCAGTTATAACCTGATTCTTAAAAAGGTGCGCCACAAACCGAATGGTTATACAGCCTGCATTAGTCTAGCTAAAGACATTTGTTAGCTAAAGGCGAGTGAGCAAGGTCCAGATCTCTATAATTAAACTATGCCGTGTAAGTATGCAAGAAGATACCAAGATTGTTTCTGCTGATCAGTTCAAAATCAATAGTAAAAGATAACTAAATGATTTCAAAGGCTAATGGAACCCGTGAGATAATAAGGTCTGTTCGCATTTTGTAATCGTTTTAAATGAGTGACTTTCGACAGGGTTTCGTTTTGTTAGGTAGCGAATATTGTAAATTAAAAGTTGCGCATCGTGTTCTATATCAGGATGAGATGAAGAATTCGCGTAGGTTGCTAATGGTACTGAAAGCTGTTGGAAATTAGGCGACCAGTCAATGTTGAATGCACCAGTGACGTCTACAATGCTACGTTTTGAAGGCCTGTTACAGCAAAACGCTGTAAAACAAAGCAACTTATTTTGGAGGATTTCCGAATTATCTTCGGGTGACTCGCAGAGGAGTTATACATCTCACGTCAGTTATGCGGGGCAACTTTAAACAATTATTTTGAGGCAAGAAGGCCCACAGCAAGGATTGTGTTGAGGGACCTTAATTTCCAATAAATACAGACTCGTCGATAGCTGTTTCAGAAAAGCCTTAACGCAGTTAAACAAAAACCGGATTTGGATAAAAGAAAATTTAATTTAGCCTCCTACGGGTTTTCCTCATTTCAAAACTCGCGAAATACCTCAAAGGAATATGCCCTGAGGTGACTTCGAGTGAAACGTCAATAGAGCTAGTGTTTATCCCTGCAATTGAATCTGAAAACTGTTTCAAAGATTGGAAAAACGGTGGCACAAGCCATTGAATTCAGTAGGGATTATCTCGAAGGAACAACTGATATTTCATTCGCTCTGTACCTCGATGTTCACGAACCTAAACTCATCTCCGAGTAATGTTAAAGGTTTACAAAGTAATTGTAAACGTGTTTCGTACATACAGTTTTGTTTAGATTTTTAAATCTACTATGATCTCGCTTGATCTCTTTATGCACATATCGAATAAAATTGAATAGATATGTTTTATCATTTAAGAATGGAAACTGCACTAACTGCCACATGAATTTTCGTATAAAACAGCTAACGTTAATAACAGCAAAAAAAAACTCAATAAATTTTAGCAAGTTGGTCATATGAATTTTAGTTAAATACCCTTAGATTTAAGGGATTTGAACTGCTAACAAATATCAAGCGGAGTTTTAATGTCGGCCAACGCTGGTGACTACAGAAGCTTACATAGAGGGCAAATTAACGTATGGTAACAATATATTTATAGCGCGTTGATGATTATTTGGGCTTAAAAAATTCACGCTCTTGCAAGCGATATTAAAGAAACTCACCTGCAGAGGGTAGGTTAAAACAGTGGCGATGCATTTCGAGATTGCGCCTAGCGAAAACGCTGTACCGGCGCTCAAAGCAATACCGAGAGTCTCGCAGCGCCTCTTGAGGGCCTCGTACACCATGAATTGTATGGAAGGATTTGAAACAAGGATAAGCGATGGAAGTGTTGATGACCATAAGGCATGCACTCCCTCCTCCCTGGAACATGACATCAGATAACTATGAAATTGCATTGGTTGTGTTCGCAAGACCAAGTTATTACGCTGGTATTAATATATCGAAAGCTACTAGAACATATTACATATACAGCATATTAGATTAATATATCTTTCGATCCGTATTTAGTGCTTTTTTTTGTTCAGTAGAATCCATTTTTTGAAAATGTAGAGTAAAAAAACTTTCTTCTCTCTTTCATATTCAGTAAGTAATAGATATGCAACCATGAGTATGCATTGGTTTTTATTCACGCATATAGCCTTATTTAACTGTAATAGAAATGCTTAGACACAGGTTCGTGCAATTTGTATCCTAAATAAAAATAAAATCGAGCGACACCCTTCCATTTTCCAGTCTTTAATAATTCCTACCGGTATATGGTAATAAGTCCGTCTAGAAGGCTTCGAAACTTGTAGTTCGCACTTTGGTTTTCTTGGTCATGTGGGCCGTACTGAGCTATTGCGCCCTGCATCTTCATACGCGTGTTAACGACCCACATTGGAGTCGTGACTATCACATTAATTACTCCGGCAATAGTCGCTAGCATAAGGTCGCGTCCCGCGGAATGGCCCCTGTCAGTACTAAACACCGCTCGTAGACCGTGGAAGGAGTAGAAATATCTAAAATTGCGTAACACGAAAAAAGGCAAATCATGAAAGTTATTTACACTAATGGCAAAATTGTAAAGGCAACGACGTTTTCGATAAACCGAGACACGCTGATTGTCCGATGTTCTTCTTACCTGATTGATTAATTAATAGGCTGTAGTAGAGTGAGAAGACAAGGGACTTTTGATCACTTCCAATAAAGCTTCGGTAATTTTGAGCTAAACCAGTCAGCGGTTAGATGAGATGTTTTATAACAGATTTTGTATATTGTTCAACCATAAAAAGGCCCAAATGCTCGATATAGCATCTAATCATCAAAAGCGTCGTACTGTATGCTGCTAATCGAAATAATTACTTCAGGTCGTATGTATCTACCATCTGTGCACCTTTATAAAAAGAAGACAACGACGACAACGACTGTCAGCTAACCCCAAAATATTTCTTGCTTGTCAAAGCAATGTTACCATTGAACAAGACGTACTTCCTCATTCAAATATCAGTTATTAATCGAGTCCTGGTATACGGCGTACGCATTATAGAATCTTATGAAAGCGTTGAATAAAATGTCATTTTTTAAAATGTCGACCGGACTACTTCCCAGAATAGTTGAGGAGATTCGGTTTGTATGCAATCCCAGAAACTTGAATTTTCCATATAGCATACTAGCAGGTAACAAGATTAAATAATAGCCCGCAAAATCCACAAATGCATAGAACTTGTAGATTTGTATACGATCAAATAGGATCATTCTCTTTGATTCATATGTTTTCAGTACGCTGCATAAGTTCTTACACAAAGTTCGAACACCAGAGTGACTGGAGTACAGGACTTAGGCCACGATAAATTCCCTCAAAACCTTCGGACTCCATTATGTCGCGTAACATCTCAACTATGGATTTCGATTCTCGTCCCTCTTCCACCTATAGATCCATGAACAAAGAGACAACATATCCAATTGAAGAAAATAGAGGTTTCAACATGTATGTATTCGTCATTATAAAAGACAAACGACAACTACAACATGAATTTAACAAATATTGACAATAGCCTATATAAAGCTTTAGCAGTCGTTTAGAGGGGCTGCTGACTGCGTGCAGTATTTGGAAGATATTGCATAGCAGCGATATTCTCTACTGAATGAAAATGCTAGAAGGCTTAACAAAACTACTATCTCAAATGAATAAGATATTGAGGTACACATTCGTCTATGTCTATGAACAGCTGAGAAAAACTGCCCCCACAGTTCTTGAAGCAGGACCTACCTGAAGTCGGCTTCGGATCGTGTCCAGTGGATAGAAAAGACTCATCGCTACGGTTGCTCCAGCAGCTCCCGAAATGGCGTGTACTAATGTTTCGTGAGTAAACAGGCGCTCTGCCAGAACTTTTGAAAGCGCCATTGTTACAAGCAATAGCCAAGCGGACGATGTGAAACTGCAATTCTGTCAGCGGACAATAAAAATCATGTATAAATTTTATAATGGAAGCATTTACGTTGACTAAACGGTAGCACCTGAGGCCAATAGTGTGATTGACATGTACAGAGTTGTTAACAGGTTGTCTAGGGTCATTGATTATCGCAAATCTCCGGCATAAAACTTCAAAAATACTTATCCTTTTAGATTTCATTACTTATTCTTACAATTTTTTAATAAAACATAAATAAATTCGTGTAGTTTCGACCTAAAAAGAATTTCATTTATTCAGCGTTTACGTAAAACGCTCATAAATCAAATAATAGGAAACAAACCATACATATGAACTTCATGAAGTTGTGTCCGCGTTTTTAAGAGAATGGAATTACACATTTGAAAAGACTAATGAACATATAATTAACGAAATTACCGCAACCATGATTATGTCTAGGATAATCTGCTGTTGACCCAATACAGACGATTATTACCGTCACCATCGGCCTGTCACAACTACAGTTATTATGATCTAAATAACCAAGTGGGATTAAAATAGTAGTTTCGCAGAAACACAAACACAATAGCTTGTTAGAAAGCCTCCGGAGGCAACGTACTAGATTTATACATACAAACTACGCAGATTAGCTCCTCGCTGTCTATAAATAAGGAGTGCATTTTACGTGCGTATTTTTTCTAATACATGCCAACAATTTTACGTGTGGTACTAAATTACCATTTCGAGTTTCACGACTTGTACACACAGTGACTCAATCAGGCATTGCTTTGAACGGCTGGCTTCTCCGTTACGAAGTGTGGTACGGCCAGTTTCGAACCTGGCCCATCTCTTAAATTTGGCAAGTAACCAGCTTACCACTCAAATGCCACATGCGTATGTGCTAACACTATGTAAATCTCTTTTTTAGACTGTATAAACTAATAAACTGTTAGTTTCCCTCTACTTGATGCCCCCTAGAGTACAGATTAGCTGCTACTGCGTAATAAGCACAGGATCTTAACCAAACCAGTGTTCACATAAATCTGGCATTTAGCTATGCATATTCATACATAATAATATCTGGTGTCTGCTGACGCCTGAATCCATAGCTATTTACCTTGGGTCTAATAAAGTGTGGAATGATAACTGTGAGGTAACTTTTAATCATGGAAAAAGCTCTCTGCATGCTAGCTGAAGTTGTTCTCCGGACGATTCGGGTGCACAGTTTCATTGCGGACGTTGCAGTGTTTCCATTAAGACACCTGTTATTATAGTAGCGACAGCTACCGTTATACAAAATATGTCTACGCTCCTGTTTAAAGCTGCGGAGTTCGATTTGTCTGTGTTCGTGAACGCTGTTCAATATAGCGCCTTAAAGGTAACTTTGTCCCTATCTCGTCGCCGGATGTCAAGATTTGCAATTTTAGAAAAACATGCGCAGTATATTAGGAAATTCGTTGACCATTTTCGGTCAGGTAAAATGACCAAAATAAATTAAAGTAACATTACTATACAGTCATGTTAGGATGTTAACAGGCCTAACTGTACTCCTGACGAATATGGACGTTTAGGCCCAGCGGTTAAACTTTTGTACCAAGTAGAGCGCTGTTGAATGCTTCAATCTCACTTATTTTATTCAGCATACGGCATAGCAAGATGATTCTATGCTAAGACAGCGTATTCTTCCTTTTAACGAAAGTTCGCCGACGACTGACTTGCGCATTATAGACTCTTCTCGGTTGGTTTGATATCAATATTCTGTCTAATTATAGATTACCCTTATATTAATAAAGCATTACGTAAACTATTTCTAAGCCAATGTATTCTTATTTAGTTCAGCAGAAAAACTATCCTCCATAAACCTTTCAAGCTCGGAATGAAGTTAAGCCTTTAGCATTTGTCCCTCGCGTGATCGAGTATGGATGTGGCACACCCTAACGTATTCATTCCTTTAGAAAAATGAACTTTGCGTCCAAATGGATAGCACTTACGAAGAAAAATTTCTTTGGTCTTTTGGCCTTCATACTCTGAGCTTATGACGGCCAACTCATCCAAAATTATGCATAACAGGAACGTCTTGCTTACAACATAACTAAATTACTATTTTTATTTAATTTGAAACAGATGATCCTGACGACAGTTTACCATAATCTTACAGTTACCACAATGGATTTGACTCGAACGTTGATAATAACAGTATTGCTAATGATAAGAGTTCTTTCAGGATAAAAAAATATGCTCTCAATGCATTATCAAGTCAATTCGAAGCCACATTAAGGCTAGTTTGGAAGGCTGATATGTAAAGATGCAAATGAAGAGAACGGCATTTTTGATTTGTAGTGATGCTAAAGATTAGACAATATTATATTGATTGAATTGGTGTCTAGGTTGTTCTGATTGAACATTCTAATGGCACGGAAATTGTTTCCATTTTCCAGGTGAACCCGTACAATAGTTACTTAAATATTGATCGATTTTAACATCGATTGATACAGTCAATTTGAAACTACATTACACGCTGTTTCAATAGAATCATAGGTGGCGACATTAAAAAAATATTCGCTAAATCTAAATAATGCAACTGAAAATATGTTCAATTTCATTTGGCATATGAATTTGCTAGCAGACTACGCAACTATAAAATTCACATGACTTACTCGTTGGGTTAGCTGTTAGGTTAGCTGTTAGGTTAGGCTAGCTGTTAGGTTAAGCTAGCTGTTAGGTTAGGTTAGGTTAGCTGTTAGGTTAGGTTAGGTTAGCTGTTAGGTTAGGTTAGGTTAGCTGTTAGGTTAGGTTAGATTAGCTGTTAGGTTAGGCTAGCTGTTAGGTTAGGTTAGGCTAGGTTAGGTTAGCTGTTAGGTTAGGTTAGGTTAGCTAGTTAGGTTAGGTTAGGTTAGCTGTTAGGTTAGGTTAGGTTAGCTGTTAGGTTAGGTTAGGTTAGGTTAGGTTAGGTTAGGTTAGGTTAGGTAGTGTTAGGTTAGGTTAGCTGTTAGGTTAGGTTAGGTTAGGTTAGCTGTTAGGTTAGGTTAGGTTAGCTGTTAGGTTAGGTTAGGTTAGGTTAGCTGTTAGGTTAGGTTAGTATTCATGTACAAATCTGTTATATTTTGACTGGCAATATTCCGCATTAACTACATCAAACGATAGGTAAAGTGTCTACTCAAAAGGATAGGTTTCGTCCCTATATAAAAACAGCCTTAAAACAACCTTATATAACTATCGAGACCAGCGCTTAAACGTCTCAACAGCTAGATAACAATACCATTATTAATCCAGTACATTTCTGCTTAACCCTCGTCGATGAAAATATTTCTTATGTATCTTCACAGAAATTTCATTGAACTACAGGTCAGTTTAAGATAGGTTACTGTAAACATTGCGCTTTAATTGCACACAGCAAAGGTCGGGCAACGTGCGAATTAGCTACGATATCATTAAGGCTTTCACGCAAGTAAATACTTTGTTTGACGCTCGCTCTTTCTTTATGAAACAGCTGGCCATATATTTACGGTGCCTTTTACCACAAATGAAGCGTTAAGAGCTAGCTCGATGCTGGTGGTTGCCACTGAACGACTTCGGTTCGAGAAGACAAATCAGGGATTAGCCAAGTGTGGTAAATGTTTTCTGTAGGATTCTGACTACGTTGCGGTAACGAGATTGAAAATGACTTTGAAATCCCAATCCGTCCTCTTGTATACAACACCCTATGCTCTCAAAATAATATTCCATTGCTATGTGAAAATATTGTATAAAAAAAAAACCTAATTTGTATGTCCCACGCGCTCAGTTATAGTCAGATTACAGATATACAGAATAGTCCGCCAATCGAGACCAGACGTTCGCTGTTAGGCTAACAACTGCAATATAATCTTTTACCTACAAACTAAAAGCGAAGCGATAATCATATCAAAGTATATGTGATAAAATGTGTTACTTTGCCAAGTACGCTTACGTCTTTTGGCTGTGTGAACTAATTAGAAAAGGTATGAACGCCCTAAATAAGTGCCGCAAGGCCCTGCAAATACTAGGCTGCCTAGGTCCCCGTAATAACTTCGTGGGTAGCATATTTGTCTGCTAATCGTAGGGGCACATTGTGCGTTCGAACCCGGGCATAGGCAGACTTTGTTCCGTGCTGGAAACCAGCCGTTTGATGGAATGACTAACGGCGATACCGGACGTAAAACTTGAAATATAGAAATGATTTAAGGACATACTCAAATTTATTTAAATGTCACATGGTTACAGCTTGATAATATAGTTTATCTGCCTGTTTTCGGATACGATGTTACGAGTGTCAAAAGACATTTAATCAAAAATATCTGGAACATTTAATGAAGACGCGCTACAACTAGAGGCCACCTTGAGAATACTTTTCATGTGAACTAGACTTATATATTACACAAACGACACGTTTTTGTTTGGCAATGATATTTATATATGACGAAGTCCAGTAACGTGACTCTCGAACGATCTCGAATCTAAGAAATGGAAACCTACAAGCTTGTTAGAAATACCCTGTGCGTGCTACATTACTAGTCTATTTGTATTATTAGGAGAATATTCGTATGTCAGCAACTGATATCTGAAATTGTGCCACTGTTCATTTTTTACGTGCTTTTATAGCAGTGTGATATTTGGCCAGATTATAAAACGCCCTTGGTAATTTCCGTCAAATAATTTTAACGTTATCATTGGCGAAAGTATGCTTCCTATATATGTTTAGTTTAGTACCACTGGAGATAACCAAACCGGTTTTTTCCGGGCAGAAAATCATGTTGTTTTCTAGCTAATAGTCGTTCTTTCTAAAGCCTTCTTCTAAAGTTCTCGGCTATAGTAGATCCGATACGAGGTGCCCAATGCGACGTAAACACACCGAAAGTACATGTCGATGACATTTGAAAGAATAATTATTTTCGAGCACACTTAAGGCTCCTAATTGATTTTAGTCATCCATCCATCAATAGAAATTTCGAAAAAGGATGCTTTTAGTTTTAGCGTCTGCAGTGCCTATTAACGAAGTCTTAGCTTCTAACTCGTAACTGATACTTATTGAAAGCCCTCTCTTGATATCGGGTCCAAGAAAAAGCATTATCTTATTCATCAGCTCAGGCGCATCCAGTAACAATTTAAAAACCTCAAATCATTTTTGTAATAAATCTTGAGCGTGAATCCTGTACAGTCGACATGTATGTAAGTGAATACAAACTCTCAAAACATGGACTATGGCAACACTATAGAATAGTGTTTTGCGTAACTGTGCGTTGCAAATTATGCTACATAATTAGTAATGGTTGTATAGACCCACATCTATGATGTACATGATGCAGCTCAGCATGATTTGCAGTAACGAAAAACAAGCTTCGGGTAAATATTAGCTATGCAAATTAGATTGTCACACAAAGGTAATGCTCTAACCATGTGTTTTTCCTGAACACAGTGCCAGAACTTGTCACAGCTGACATTAGTGCGTAAATCAGTACTTGCCTTTAGGTACCAGGATAACTGTAAGGTCGACCTTTTCCTCTATATTCCACCCACTTCTTGATGTTTTGACTGTGTATATGTTTTGCCTGTACGTTTTATGGAGGGCGCATCTTTGTATGCTTTAGATCGTATTTCTTGTTCTCTCCCACAGCAATCAAGTCACTTAGCCAATCTCTCTAAAGAACAAAGGCTGCCCTTCACCGCAATCAACGACGTAACGGTCGATCGGTACAATCTCTTCGTAAAAATTTGATTTCACTGTACTACTCTAAACGCACTTATGTCCTCTTTGAATTTCTAAGAAAGGGTGATCCGTGATGCTAGAAGAAAAAATTAAATCTCACTGATTTTTTTCCAGCGAGCCCATAATTACTATTTTTTGTACAAAAACAAAAACACTATGTCACTGGGGGGGGGGGGGGATGAATGGATGAATTATGAACACGGAATAGGTGTGGTGATTCTCTTTTGTCCGTGGGCTTGATTCGAAGGTATGGTGGAATAAGACAGCATCACGACGTTATGACTTTTTTTTTTTAATGTACTTCTATTCAAATCGAAAAGCTTATCGTATACTCAGAGGTGAGAAACCGATCAAAATGTAAACCTGCAAACAAGCGAAACACATTATGTAGCTAAGCGACTAAGCTGGCATGCAAAATTTATGAACTGTACGATTGTTTCTGTTGTTGTGTGAATCAAGAAATTTTGTTCGCGCACCTGTTCTTTTACAATAAAAAAATGTGAGTACCGGGCCTTCCTTCGAAAATAAGGTCAAAACAACCTTCTTTTCGTTAAAATTTCGCTTAAAAAAAAGAAAAAAGAAAAACGCACAAAATGGATATTGGTAACTGTTTGGCTGCTAACCATTATTGTTGTTAAATTAATGGATACGCTTCAAATTCCTCTTTGCTGTTCTTTATCTATATCGGCTTAGTGGCATTTCTCCCACGTCATTCATAGCTAAGTCTCGCGCTTCTTGTTCTTTTTCTCTGCGTTTTTGACGTCAATGCTTTCTTTTTAAGCTCCATTTCGCTTCGCAAAATTAGATTTCCCTTACGGCCCGGTAAACATGAAGCACCACGTTATTACTGTTTCCAAAACCCGACCGTTGAATATACGAATATTTCGTATTTACTCGTCATTCTGTTCTAAAATGTATAATATGTTGCCACAACATTCAGGGTGTCGGAAAAGCCGGTAAAAACAGAATCATTCTCTTTCCATATTATTTATAAAACAGTTATATTTTAAGTAACTGGCATTGACTATCCAATTCGAATAGAATAACGCGTTCAATATGTTCGTTCGTTGAAACGAGCGAAATTATCTAAAGCCATTTTTAAATCTGCTTGTTTGTTCACCAGCTTGGTTATATGAGTTATATGACTGCGGTAATATTATCATCCTTCTCTTAAAGTTAATATGAACTTTATGCTTTCCCTCCATAGGCAATACACTATACATCCCGTTTATTTAAAATCAGCATTGGTTACCTTGTTTGCTAGAACTGATTATTAATATTTCACTTACATAGTAGCAATAAATTTCATTTAAATACGAAAGCACTTAGAGTGACCGGAATCACTAAATTAAATTTTGTGAGGAGCACAGATCAGCAACCGAACGTCTGACCACCGTGAAACAATAAATGCTATAAAATCCGTTCATATATGACAATTTAATAATTATTATGGCATGGTTGATACAATGACTGCTGTAGGATATTCGCTCGAAGTAAAGGACTTAACACCGTTAAATTGACACGCATTGAGACTGACGATGATGTCAACATTGAGACTGTTTCGGACACGGTTTTTCCGACCATGACTAAATGAAAGTTGTGGGTAATCTGCTAATCATCTAAGTGAACGTAATTGTGGTCAAGACAGAACTTCTGCTACTTCTACTTAATGCACCAGCATTGTCAGGGGTCCACTGTCTCACGTTTCAGTGCATGAAGGAAGCTAGATCCGCACATCTCTAAGGAAATGCAAGCAAACTGATTCTCGCAATTTAAAATAGTGGCTATACTCTGTAAGTGAATTCGCAGTCTTGTATTTATTATAACCTACGTAGAAATAGGTGCAATAATAAATAAACGTGCAGAACCACTGCCAGGCATTTCATTAGACGGTTGGTGCCCAACAGAACCATTTTATCTGCTCCAAATATACACCTTACATGTACCCTTCAGAACAATCTAAATAGAGTTTATCACTACCAACGTTGTGTGCCTACAATTATGTTATATTATAGATTTTTTTCCTTTCATGATCTTATTGCTATGCTTTTTAGGGCATAAAAAATGCTATAAGTTTGCTATAGATAGGATAGACCCACTCACGCCTGTGCGTGCCAGATCTTTCCTTAACGTGGAAAATGAATGAAGAGATAGAGTTTTCTTTTAAATTATCAAGTGGATATCACAATTTTTGCATTCTTTTTTTAATGGAGGTCGGACTTATTTATCATTCATATCTAGTACAAGGTATTAATGGAACCGTACCTACATTTGTGGTTGACGTTGCACTTTATTTGACTAATACACATATAAAAACGCCAATAGAATTGCTATGAAATCGTTTCTGTAAAAGCAGAGGATCGCGACTATTACTCGATTTTGTGCTGCTAACCTGGAACAACAAATGGACGACATTAAAGGGAGTTTTGATTCCCTTTCAACTGTTTATAAAAAAGCGATATGCTACGTGATAACCCTGTTTAGGCTAGAGTATGGCACAAATCAGTTGACTTGACAGTAGTTAATATAATGGTACATAAATGATAAAAATATGTTTTCCTTATGTTTTTTCTTTATTACGTTATGTCTTCTTATGTTTTTTAATGTAATGTGAGCTAAGTTGGCGACAGTGAATGGAAAAGTGTATAGAGATTCTTATATTAGATCTTCAAAATCTAGAAACCACTTCATAATTTGTAGTATTAAGTAAGTATAATTCTCCTTTACTTATGGATAATGAAAGCGCCATATTAAATATAGAATTTTACTTGTCTCATAACATTTTCTCATATATTATTATATCTCACGTATTTTCTCATAACATTTTTCATGTTATCAAGGTTAGTAACATTTGTTATGGTAAGCTAATATCATACATAGACTAACTTCAGTGTTCCCGCTAATCTTCACGCGACAATGTTGTTAGCCACCTCACAAAGGCAACTTTGTAGTTTTCTACACTGCGCCAATGATTTTAGCGAATGGCTACTAATCGTTTCATCCACTGACCTATCACATCGTATCGTAAAGTTTGGTTACAGGCTTTGAGAACCCCACATCTAGAGCCCCGCTAATCTTATGTCAAACCCTGGACCCTATCAAGTGCGTTCGCCGCCAAACGCCGGAAGCAAAAATAGCGTCAACAGTGCATAGAACTGTACCATTAGATGGTGTCAAGTGAACATTAAAATAAATACATGCGTCTTCTAAGCAACTTTAATCACATGTTCTAAACGTTCAAGTAATGTTGACAACGATATATGACGAGAAATTCTTATATTGAACTGATCAAATATTGATAAACAAACACAATTTATTGGTGAGGTCTGTGTGGGGCTTATTACATATAATATTATTATATATAGGCTGAGTATAAAATATTATAGTTGAAAATGGGCGCTACACAACATGTATGCTTAAATAGAGAAAGTTCAAAGGTATGATTAAATATTCCAATGTTCATCATTATGGCCCTTTGAATAAAAATACAGAGCACAAAACAAAGCAACGCATTTCTATAAAAGCTTTGTAACATCGACAACTAATAAAAGCAACAAGCTGTCTTCTGTTTTTTAAAAAAATTACCTTTTTAGGCGATGGAAACGACAGACGTTTCTGTAGTTTTAGTTAATCTTACCGTCTAAACTCTCACGTCTAGTTTGACAGTAATAAATTAGACGACAATGCGCTTTGTCAAAGATCCTTCCTCAAAAGCCTTCCCGCCATCATTTAAAATTTCGCGCGAATTTGAGCCATGAAAATAGCAGAGACTCAGCTTTCCCCTGATGTTCCTAAACAACGTCTTGTTTTATAACGCGGTATTCCTGGCTTTACGCACAGGCCGTGCCACTTTTTCTCTAAGCCAATAAAAATAGTCGATCAATGTAAACTCTTTATGTACGTATGCACATCTTCTATAGTTAACCGCAAGACTTGTGGGGTGAACAACACTTGTATCTATTGGTTTAAATGTTCTTGAATTTCATCCGTTTCCGCATATCATAAGAATTTTCCTACGATTCTAATCGACTTTAGATAGTATTGCTATTGTTGCTTTAATTAAATCAATATAACAGAAGTTACCTGAAAATATTCAGTTGTAGTTGAAGCAAAATCATAGAATTCACTAAATACAAGTCGAAGTTTGAGTAATCGTTCATCTCAGTTTAATTATTCATAATCAAATTATAAGTCATGCCTTCCTTTCACCTTATGCATTCTACCATATAATACGTATCTGATGATTATCAGCCTAGACAGGAATTCGCTGGCTTCCGTGTATTTACCGGTCAGATCAGCACTTATAGTCTCAATCAATCAATCAGTCAGTCACAGTCTGTATTAAGTGCATCGAAATTTGAAAATTGGCGCGCTTACCTCTAGACAGACAACTAGCATCGATCTCCTCTATTCCAAACAAGACTGTGTAATCGCCGGATTGGGTGCGTATTAATTGTGTTTCGGTGTGTATAGCGATATGCTAAATATCCGGCGTTGGTAAGAGACAACCTTGAAATTTACCGACGGAGTCGCGGGGTGTGGAACTCGAGGAACGGGATCCGGCCATTCCGGCTCGTTGTAACCCATCCACATTGAAGAAACTCATATATCATGTTCGGACAACAGCCAAACAAGCCGTTTGCTTTCGGTGGTTCAACGTTTGGCCAACCAAACACAGCTTTTGGACAACGTGAGTATCATTTCACAAGTTTCGTATTATGTTTAAGGATCATCTGTTAGGTTCGGGTACAAAGCATTATGAGCGGGTGACCGCATACTGGTTCAGTAGATGTACCGCCTGTTCGATGAGCATTAGATCCTAATTTGTACGTTGGCTCTCATATAGAACATTTTGCCCTTAGAAAGTAAAACGTGCAACTTAAGGTATCACTTATCTTAGTATCACATTTGGCTGATGGAAAATATCACTGTTTTCCAACATTTATTGCCAACTGACAAACCTAGCTGACACTGCCGGTTGTAATGTCAATAGGTATATGAGAATAGGCATACGGTCATATACTTCAAGATGTTTAATAACATAAGTTGTGTCACTACGATGAATCCAATTAAGTTTTTTGTGTTAAAAACTTAGTACTAGGTGGAAATCCAATGTCAAAAACCACGGTGGGACATATGTTTGTGCATATCTCATGGACTTGTTATTAAAAAAATAAAATTTATTGCATTAGATAGGTTAGAGATATGGTTATGAGATAAAACCAGTTTTACCGAAAAAAGCAGCGCAACCCTAAAGTAAGTTTACTTTTAGCTGCGTTGAAGACCTGAAATTTATATATCGTGTGCTTTTCAAATCACGCAAACTATGGAAAAGGATGTATTGACAGAAGTATATATCGGTATTTGGTATTCAAAAACAAATGCTTAAGTATAAAAGTCTTGAAGAAATAACTCATTAGAAGATATGTAATAGATTAAATAAACAAATGAAGATCACATCGGCCAGACGAATTTAGCGTAAGTGCTGAAACTTATGGTATCGGCGAAAACTTTACTGCCGAAGAGTCCAAATTATGAGGTCTTGTAGGGTGTCTGTCAAGCGAGAAGAAGAGCAGCTAGAAGATAATATCAAGAATAGACCCTACCGAATATAGCTTCCCTGACATTAATGTGTGCATTATGTCAAACCACTTACCAAAACCACTAATATGACTTTTCTTGTATAACCCACTCGTTTTGCTGGTAATTTCGTGAATATAATGACTTACTCTAAAAACCGTGATCATCCAATTGTTTTATTTATACTAACTATATCTCATATAAGAACTTCATTAGATGCGCATCCCATTTATGTTGTAGGACCTGTACGGCAAGGAAACGTAGTGGCAGTTAATATAGCGGAATAATTTTGCTCATTAAAGGGGAAAACTGGCGAAGTCACGTGCAGTTTAAACACTTCTTTTCTCGTTTCCTATTACATTAGTACAGAAATTGTTCAAAGCTTTGCGTATGTGTAAAGATACACATAGCAGTTGGATGGAGCCACCTTTACGTTGCGTGGTAACTTAATTACTAGTAGCAGTTACGCATCATAGGATAGCGCCATACCCTTTTTATTACGTGACCACGAAATTTTAAGGACATTTTTCTAATTATACTAGACGCTAAAGGTCTAAACACTTTAATGTTTCATGTCGATTCTCAAATTGATTCGTATTGTAAATAACATATTCTTTTCCTAATCAGCAATACTGCTGGGCTTATTTCGCCTAGTAACGTTGATGCTAATGAGCCGCTAGTATCTGTGCTAAATACCTGTTTGTAGGCTTGTTTAACAATTGTAGCAGTAACTCCACTATTCAATAAAATACTTCGTGCGCACTCAGTATTATTTGGATATCTTGCTATAAAATTTACACAAGCGAGAGTCTACGAGTGGCGTTCTCTGTGATTTCACGGGTATAACTTGAAGTTTTTACTGGGTTTTATACGATGAACATACACTAAGCTATTGAAAAAGTGTTGGCAGTTTTGTAATTGGCAATTAACTCAAATCTTTTTTTGTTGTAAAGTCATATTAATAAATTAATATGCGCAAATTATGCCACGTTTCTGGCAGAAAAACGTTATAATCTTTTAACTGAAATACTGTAGTTTTTGGACGAACAATTGTGGCAAGTAATTTTTGCGTTCTCTCATCGAAACTTCTGACGAAACGAAGATAGTTCTATAGAGATTGTCTCAATTTCTTATACACAGAACAGTTTAATGATGTAAGACCCGAGTTATATGGCGAATGTATTAAAATTTCTTACGCAAATTCAATGTTTCCTAAGTAGCTGAAGATGCGTGTGGTTTGGCATTGTAATGCTAGAATACGACGTCATTTGTTTTTACTAGTTCCAGCTAATATTCTTCAGTTGTTAGCTTGCTAGATATTACAGTAGAGGTCCAAACCGATAGTGGTGTAAGACGCCAACAATTCAGAATAGAGGGTTCCTTCGACAATTCTACCAAACACATCACATCGCCTACTTTGGCCTCAATCTGGACTTTGCTACAAAATGTGGAGTAGATTTTTCTAAACACACGATATTGTTTTATGTAATCAATTATTCATCATCCGTAATCAATCGTTTTAAAAATCGCTCAATTTCGTTGCGTTTCTGAGGAATTTCACACATGGAAATACGATCAAGGATGTTCTTTACCGCCAGTTCGTATCGCATCCCAACATCGAGCTTTTTTTTGTGGTCAGCTTGTTTTAAATGGTCTAAAAATATTTGGTGGTAGATGTTAAGCTCTTTGGCAATCTTATGGCTGCTCCGTATCGGGCCCGCTTCGAGTCGACTACTCCGACGAGCACCGTTCACATTGAAATTTTTAGAACAAAAGCGACAGAGCCAACTTCAGGCCGTTTCGTCTAATACTGCATCTTGACCAAAAACAGTACAATTTTTTACAGGTCTGTGCAAAAACTGCCTATCTTTGCCGTAATAACATTGCAAAGTAGCGATTTTTTTTGCGAAAACTTCACTGACCTCAAAAAGTGCTCTACTTTAAGTCTGAATAAAGGAATTCTAGCAATTTTTGCATATCTATTACTTCCAAATCTTAGATTTCAAATGACACCAACGCCGATTCGGGGCGACTTTTATTACTTGATATATATGGTGACTTTAGGTGGAAAAACGGTTAATACTCTTTCGATAACCCAATATTATTATACCTTTCTTTCCGAAACGGTTGAAATAAATAATAATTTAGCAATCGTTCCTGCAAACTTCGTTCAAAAAATTGAAGCGACATTCAAAACGAAGGCGTGACTGAAATTGGACATGCAAGTACCCGAACATAGTCAACTTGGCGTCTGCCAAAAATTAATTGGTGCCTTCCATTCGCGGATGCTTAGAAAACCTCTGTCATATAATCCTTTATTTGTCGTTCGGCAGATCCGCGCTTTTAAAACCCTGATATGGTTCGCCTTCTGTGAAAACTCTCTGCTCAACATAAAAAAATATTTCCCAAGTGGTTTGTGTAAACATTTCGGTAAAAAAATATGTTCGGTTAGCTTGCAAAAATAAACTTTCTCATTGTGTGATATTGTTCATTTAAAAGGAGATTTGTAATTATCATATTATGAACACTGCGGGGCCAATAATGGACACTTGTGACATGGATGAAACCTGAGCTCTCAGAGCTATGTAGTACAGATCCTGAGATTACTTCTACGACAGACAGCAAGTATACCTGTATTGTGGCATGACTTGATGATATGCTTAGATCTGCTTGTCTATGTTGGTATAATAAAATACAAGTTTGTTATCAGGCGTCCGGAAAAGAATCATGGGTGGGTACACAATTCCGATACGGAAACGTTAAGCAATAATGACAAATATCGCTTTTAGTTAGAGAAAGCCCTTTGGCATAGGCCTTTTGATTAAACAAGAAACATTTCTGACTCTGACTTTCATCAAGATAATTAGATATCACTCCCAAATTAGATTATATATGGGCAACATAATTGGTGTTTCCGAATGCATTTCACATAAACATTTCATGAAGATATCAATTTTTGTATAAATGGTTCTTTGAGGTCAATTGAGAGCCTTTAATGAGTTGTCGATGCGGTGTATGATAGGTCTTAAAGCGTACCTGACATAGATTATTACTCTCGGCTGTCTGTTTTTCAGCGATAGTTTATTAACATAAAATATAGATAGTTGTTTCCGGTATAGCGAGGTCGCTTATGGCATCTGCACTGAGGAGCCTTTATCTCAAAGCATCGGTCAGTCTGGGCCCTTTGTACGCACTTCTACACGCATACATCAATTTACTAAAAAACAGCACTTCTCTTCAAGATTTAAACGTCCTGCCTTAGTCCCGTTAAATACATTTCAAGCAAATTCTAATTAATTTAACTAGGGGTCAAGTGAATGCATCATAACAAAGCTCAGTTTAGTGTACTTTGGTAGTTTCTGTGTGTGGGCTAATGTTTAGTGATTTAGAAATAATTTTTAACAATGTCATATTATGCTATTCTGCCATAATTTGCACTCTGTTTCTGTTGACATCCAACTACGATTCTTGTATTCATACAATAAAATTGTTTGTCCTTATATATTTTTAGCCAATTAAAATTGATATCGTTAACTTTGAATCTTCGATTCATATCATGTTATTGTACTTTTCTTTCTCGTGTGCTGTTGTTGTTACTTTCCTTGTCATTGCAAAATTGTCTGCTACATGCGGGTTTCCACCGCCAGGGCTGCTTAATCCAAACAAACTCACAACGTCAAGTCTATAGCTTGTGAGCTATTACATTGCTAAGAGTCATACAGTGAGAACCGGCTGTGATTGGCTAATTGGAGCAGCTACAACCGGTTAGATCTGCGCTGGTGGGTCGGAGTTAGCCGCCTATATAACGACGGCGAAACAACGCTAGTGTGCCATTTGCTGCGGGCGCGGTACGTTGTGAAAGAATTCCCTCTGACGACCAGCAGACAACGTTGGTAAGCGCCCGCTCAAACAAGCAAGATAATACCGCGAGGGGTCAGGATGGGGGAGAACAATTTTGCGTCCTAAAAACGACTCGGATCTGGTGATTTGTATCATTCTATATTGCAAATAATATTCTTGTCTCTCCTGTTATTACATATAATTATTACCACTGTACATTCACGCACATTAATTTGTCAGCTACGTAATTTATACAATGGCATGCTATATACGATGTATATGTATTAAGCTGTTTATTTTACAAACATTGCATGGTGCACATACATCTTGTGCATATTACATACGAGCGCTTCCATTTATTCTTCATTAGTAATTCTAAGACCATCAAGTGACATAGTGTATATATTTTGTAGTTTTATGTGCATGTGTTGTTAGTACATATACTCTGTACACTTTCTGTATATATGCGACAGAAATTTATGCAGCAAATTATCTGTATTTATCGTATAATTTTCACGTATAAAATCCAGTTCCAGTTCGCTCAATACAATTGAAGTAAAGCACAGTTTATCACCCATTTCTACTAATGATTAGAATGTAGATTAATTAGATTTCTTCAACTGCAGTTATATTTTTGAGTATGACTAAACGTAACGTTCATCCTGTAAAATGACGTTATGACTGAATATGTGAGTGAATATGGCTAACTGCGGATTATTTGTACGAATCTGTGTTTCGGTAATTCGAAATGTGCTAATAGACGGAATCTGGGAGCTATTACTATCCAAGCTAACCATTTTATATGCTGTAAACATGAATGGTAGATAAGCTCAGCTTTAAATAATAATCATAGTGCAAACCTAGGTCTTTTGTACCAGCCCGGATCCTTATTTATTAGTACTTAAAAGTATAGACGTATGTTTTTATCTATCTTTTGCCTGTTCATGTTTTTCGTTTGCCATCGAGTGTTATATACTGTTAGAAAGCTCTTCCTTTTTTCTAAGCAATTTTTTCCTAAGGCATCGAGCAGCTAACTTTTACAAATTGGTAATACATTTGATAAGAAACGCAATAAACTGAAACGATTATTATTTATACCGATTTGGTAGTAAGCATTTTTGTAAAAGAGCTTATTCATTTTTTTAAAAAAACTCAAACAATATATTTATCTTTAGGTATAAGGAGTAAATAGCTTATCCGAAGAGATCTTGTTGAAAACATCAGTTGGATTTCAAAGCATGCATTTCTATTAATAGGTTATTCTATTATCTTAAACCAAATAGGAAATTTAAAGGGATTATTTGATAAACAGTCAGATATATGGCTGTTGCATTCTTCCTAGCGTTCTCTCTCAATCAACAAAAAGCTTAAAAATCAGTATAAAGAATGGCGGGACTTCTCGTTTTGGAACGTTGTATGAATAGTACTAATGCAGGGTACGGTCTGATCAAGTGCATGTGCTCGATTTAGTTCAGGCAGCTTCTTTGGCACTGTCACGCAAACTCATCCTTTGTCTCACAGGAAAAAAACAATGCGATCAGCCCTGCTGCATCCTTCGTTTTTCCATTTACGGCTTCTTATGTGGTCTAATGTGGAGCAGTTGTAACCGGTCGACACTAGACCGACGAGGAATGCTTCTCTGGTTCCATGGTAAATAAAGTCGAGAAGCAGAGAATTGGATGGAAATGGGCGGAAAACTTCAAAAGACTGCTATATCATTCATATGCGTATCGCTATCGTGTGCTTGTTATCATATTCGAGTTTCGTTCGGTCGCCTACACAGTGACTATGCGCCTGGAGCAGTTTGCCAAAATTGTGGCGTGTTCCGACGATTGTATGTCTATAATTTCTTTTTTACTCTCGTCTTTTTCATTGATCTTATTTTGAGTCGTAAGAGTTACCTTATTTATGGGTACACAAATCGGAGTAGAAGTCTCTGCACTTGTAAATATATAAGTATAGTGTGGAGCTTTGGTTTCGATTTACTTAATCTAAATTCATAGGGCAAGGATCACTTTCTAATTACTTAAAAATAGCAATAATTTATATGATTTAGAAAACGTCATTTAAACATATCGAGAGCCTTGCGGTCTGTTTTGTAATGTATACACGCAGACGCAAAATAAGGTTTAGAAATTCATTCTTTCAAGAAACAATTAATGGTGGTGCACTCAAAACGAATAAGTATTCACCTGAGCTTCTGCTACTGCGTGAATCAACTTGGTAATTAGTGAATCGAATAGACCAGAAAAGCATCCATATTGACTATTGAAGTTGCTAGCTTCATTCAGTAACTAGCCATACACACAGTTTGTTTTGTGTTGGGGGATAAGCCATCTAAAGAAGCGTTTAAAGGACATATCATATGTAAATTCCAAAAAAAAATAATTTAACAACATTCAGTAATCTGTTTGATATTGGATAAGGTCTGCTCACGTAATGATTTTGTCTCTTATTTATCGATGCTTGTATGTCAGCTCAAACATCCGTATTTGGACAAACGTCAACATTCGGGTCCCCTGCAACAACGCAACAAAGTGGCGGATTGTTCGGCAACACACAGCCGTCCGGAGGACTCTTCGGTCAAACAACACCGTCAGCATTTGGACAGGCACCTCAACAACAACAACAAGCTCCTAACTCATCATTTTCTTTCGGAGGTTTCTGACTACTACTTACAATGATATATGCTGCTGTATAGTTCTAGATAGAATTCAGGTCGACGTCTCGCGTTGCCATGTGATTAAAGCAGGAAATTCAAGTGTTACGACAAGAGACAGAATTCAATTAGTTCACAAGCGCTTGTGCCGTTAGCTGCAACTGGCGATATACTTTATTTTAGGGGTATACACATTGTTGTTACACATCTTATTGTTTCTAGTTACCCCGAATACAGTATTTTGAACGACCCGTTGTGTATGCGGGAGTTGTATCTTTTAGCTCATGGATTTGTGCTCGATTTGCCGAATACGAGGCGATTGAGCCTCTACAAATAATTGTTCTGTGCTCATTTACTCGTCATGTGAAACAATTAATCTTCGCTAAACGATAGGTTCTTCTGGTTGTTTTGGTTTTTGAACAGGCGCCCCTCAGCAAACGGCACAGCCATCGCTGTTTGGGCAACAGACAGCGCAGCAAAATGCAGCAACAAACGCATTCGGTGGTGGAGCCTTTGGAGCTCAGACAAATAGGCCAGCGTTTGGCAGTTTTGGAACGACATCCGCTGCCCCCGGCACCTCAACGGCTCCCGGTGGCCTGTTTGGAACACAGGGCACAGCAGTCCCAGGAGGTGCGTAATCTAATCAATATCTTTGACGTCTATTAGCATGCTCATTTACTTGTAGTTAGAAATCATATTAGCATAAACCTTGTACAAAACAAAATCTAAGTACATGACACACCCTGTACGTAGACCTAGTTCAAAATAAATGTCATATCTACGCGAACTTTTATATTAATAGAGGTATCATAGGCAAGTATTGAGCTATTAATCTGTTTGGCCAAAAGTGGACCTCCTCCGTTATGACTAGATTTTCTGTCATGAACAGAAAATATAAATGCCGTACTTACACTATGAGTCATGCACTTGATTGTAACCACCTTCTTTCTTTTTTCCGTAAAATATTGCATGTAAAAAATAATTTTTATTCTTTAAGGGGAGCCAAGAGCAAAATTATTAAGTAAGTATGAAATTAGTAAGTAGTACTGTAGCAGCATTGTCCTAGGTTTTTGTTGTGATGTCCCTGGCTGTTAAAGTGAAATTGCGTCACGTTGATAATAAAACACTTCCCCGTACAATTGCAGTACACAACCAATGTTACTGTCGACGATTGCTCTAGTGCAGGTTTATAAATTAACGTTCAATAAGTGTGTTCATATTTCTACTTGTCTTACTCATTCAAGCAATTATTATTATTTTTACGCTCTTATAAATCTCGCTTTTACACATCATCTGTAACGAATTCCTATTTTGTTCCCAATATCTTTTGAATAACCTATAAATTTATTTTCTTATCTGAATTACATCTTCTAGCAGCTTAGTCCATTGTCCTATTGTACATTCTACTCTCGTCCAACCTCGTCCATTCGTCCATGTCTTCGACATAGACTTTTTCAGAGTATTCTCAAGTGTATGCATGCTGTGACTGTGGGCATTGGGCTGTGATTGAATAATCATGACGATCTTGCTGTGGTCCTGATTGCTGATGTCTCACAATTGTGTGTGCCTATGTGTGTTTTTCATGTCGACATTCAATCTTGTCGTATCTCAATACAGGCTTGTTTGGTAACGTGGTGTCCTCAACGACTGGTAGCGGTGTGTTCGGTGGAACGGGCAGCGCTTTTGGGGGCGTTGGCGTTGGGGTCGCGCCTGTCGGCACTACCATTCCGTTCAAAGTTGTAACGGGCACTGACACCATGATGAAGAATGGCACTACCCAGAATATCCAGACCCAACATCAATGTATATCGTGCATGAAGGAGTACGAGAACAAATCCCTCGAGGAGCTGCGTGTCGAGGACTATATGGCTAACAGGAAACATGGCTCCCAGAATGCCGGGGGCGCATTTGGCACAACCGCTCAGAATCCGGCAGGTGCCGGCCTCTTCGGTACTAGCGGTGGTGGATTCAGCTTTGGTAATACGGCCACACAAAATAAACCCCTCTTCGGCAGCGGCACCTCAGGCTTCGGAGCGACAATCACGCAAAGTGAGTAGATGAATAGCAGATGGGGACGCAACAACGAAACAACTAAAATAACAACAAAAAAAACAAACCACAGAAAATAAAACCACAAACCCTTCGAAGACTTGTGTCGTACTGAATCGACATTATATGGGGTGCGTGAATTTGTCAAGAAAGCGTGTGGCCCAAGATAGTCTCATTCGAGCTGACTGTAGGAAGGGTGGGTTTAACCAACGTTTACTGCGTAAGACAGTAAAGGGGCGGGCCGCAACTGAGTGGGCTGCAGTCGGATATTGAGGTTAGCATTCTCTGGGGGCCCAGTGTCGGTTGGTGTGATATATCATGAATAAATTTTAACGCTATTCACGCTATAAGGAGGCTTGCGCGTTCAAAAATGAAATCCTGAAATTGGTTCCCGCTAATCGAAGTTGGGACAGGGCAAGAAAAGACAATTTATCACCCAAATGGATCACCTGAAGATGATGCACGAAGTTCCTAACGAACCTGAACGTTAAGTCAGCCCAGCTTGTTACGAAAGGGCGGTATAACTGCTAGAAAAGTTTCAGGGCCCGTTTTGTTAAACGAGCTATAAATTTGGTTTCTGAAACTATTGCTTCTTTAAGGTAGATGCTTTGCCGAGACAGCGATTTCTCGTTTCCACTTTAGTACTATCATGCTGTCTATACGTCGGCGTGGTGTTTCTTTTCGCCCTTTCCCGTTTTTTTTTTGTTTGTTTCTTTCAAATATGTGCTGCTTCACTCGGCTTCCGTTAAGCTAAAACATTTTTTAATAGTATATTATCCGCTATAATATGGCAAAAATGAATCAGCTTCATTATGTATCGAAAAATCGAAAGGAATTTTAAGTTAGCAAGCGTTTTTTTAAACACACGGTTCTCTACTCGGATTACATCTCTATTTGAAATAATCCGTCATTCGAATCAACTAGAACGATGACTGGCTCTCACTCGATTCAGTTGTTTATAGTATATACTCAATGGCAATAAGAACTCATAAGTTTGCTTTTCTACCGGAATTCTGTGGCGAAAAAGTATTCTCTGTGAAATGCAAACCGTCATTTCCAGAGTTCTTATTATTCATTCTTATTGTTAATTATTCAGCTAACTGTTTTTGTTTGTCTTTTTGTTCCCGATTTTAATGTCATAGCAGCGACCAACGCATTCGGTACACCAAATCAAGTTGTTTCAGCGCCATTTGGAGCCCCCGCGTCATCCGCGCCATCAATTTTCGGGGCAACCACAACGACGACCGGAGGTTTCGGAGGATTCGGGACGGCGCAAAAGCCAGCATTTGGAGGCTTCGGCACGACGCCTGCATCTAGTACCCAGCCTGGAGCCACTGGTAAGTAATGACGCAAATATTATTCGTGATTGTTCTATAAAATAGTATTACTGCAAAGGAGAGCTTCCGAGCTACTGTAGCACTAGTGACTTTGATCTGCAATTCAATTCAGTTTCAGTTTAAGAAACACAACTTATTTTTCACGAAATGAAAATCCTCAGTCAAATTGTGTTCTGAGCTTCGCTTTCTTCTTGTTGTTTTTTCACGCTTTATGTAAAATGGTGGTCTACGATTTACAATGTGTATGTTTGTTCCGGTCCGACTCGGATTTCTAGGCGCCTTCGGAGCCGCAAAGCCATTTGGTGCAACGGGGGGTTTTGGCACAACCGGGACTACACCATTCGGAGCTCCTGCAACTGGCGTAGGAGCCCAAGCAGGTGTCAAACCTACGGGTCTCGGCTTCGGAGCAGGTCAAACAGGCTTTAGCATGACGCCGGGAACATCGACGTTTGGCGCTCCGGTAGCTTCATCAACAGCGTTTAGCTTCGGGACAACAACAACTACTGCATCAACTAGCCTGTTTGGTGGGAAGCCAACAACAGCTGGTGGCTTCGGTACTTCAACCCCGTTTTCATTTGGCAACGCAACATCTGGGTTCGGTGCTGCTGCAACGCCCACGGTAACTAAGCCTTTCGGAAGCTTTGGGAGCCCGGCACAAAATACTTTCGGAACTAATCTCGGAGGAGGTATGGATCGATGAAAGAAAGTCAAATAGCACACCGAACTCATTTATTCACTTTTGTGAGCTAGCATTTTAAACACTATACATCTAGAACTTGGCGTATTACGTTTTATACGTTATCCTATACCATACATATGACGATTTCACGAACCTGGCTAAAGCTACTGTCAAAAGACAATGACAAGATTTAGGAATCACTGGGTTATTTAGAGCCATTTCTTATTGTATTATACATTATATAACGTGCTACTGTTGTTGTACTGTTGTTTGATTAGTTACCTATTTAGGAGCGAGCTTGTAGGCAGCGAGAAACATGGTACAAATCACAATTGTTTTTATTTAGTACAAGCACAATATTCATCAAGTTCATGGAACTCACTCTGTCTGCATAGACGATGGTGAGAACCCTGCGCTGCATAGTTGGTTACTAGACTTCTGTTTGACCTTGTCTGGTGCATACGACATGGCCCCCGTTCGATGGAAATCATGATCGAATTCTATCAAACGAGGATCATGACGGAATTTTCTACATCATTTTACCAGGCTTTCTTGGAGTGATGGTGTTTCCGATAGGTTAAAGCGGCGACGGAGGTCCTCGGCGAACAGTGACGTCCCTGCCAAGAGGTAGACAGGCCTTATATGAGCTGTCCGATGCAATCCCATGGCTTTTTGTCCAGTTCAAATATTTGAGATTCTCTACTGTGAGGCCATCCCAGATTAAGCTCACCCCGAGTACGCAACTTTGAGGTCGAAAAAGTCGCAAAGCGCTTACGAGTGACAATCGGTAGGGGCTAAGTATTGAAGACGAAACGAAGCCTTTCTACATCTTTCTGTAATATGCTGGGAGAAACTTCGGCCGTTATACGAGATCAACAATTTTAGGTAGGTGAATCGACTCATATACATCAGTTCGGCCGGTTTGAGAAGTATAGCAGGCTACAACTTTGCCGCCTCTCGATTTCATTGTTTTGGTTAAGCTGTTGGTCAGTTTCGATACGGCAAAATGTAATTTAGGTAGGGCCTGCTGCACGCGAAAGCAGCTGCTCTCTTATATAGCTAAATTGTGTGTAAAGGATGACTTTTACTATATTTGTGAGCCTACATATCTTGTCGGGCAAATCTTTAAGCAAGACTAAGAACAAAAGAGGGCTCAAATTATTACTTTAAGCGTCTGGGAAAACGCTGACAGCTCCGACATGCTATCGTCGATTGTAACCCTGTTCTCTTGAAGTATCGCTACTATTAAGTTCACCACGTTTGAGGGAACGCCGATGTCAACTTGGATCTTCAGGACTAAATTCCTAGCGGAATAATGGAAAACAGCTTTGTAATCCGCAAACACTGTGTAGATACATTGCCGAAGGCTAGTAAAAATACGCTCGATATCGATATCGGCAAATAGGGCCTTCCACGCTGTTTTGGTCGAATGCTTTCTCGTGAATCGATGTTGCCCCTTGGGTACCGCATCCGCACGTTCCAAGAGTACGTTTAGTTTCATTGCCAAACAGATATGAGAAAAGTTTGTAGCAGACGCTTTTCTTCACAATCCCGCGCCACGATGTCGGTTGACTGGGATTGCTTTTGCTTTCTGGGATAACAAAAAGGTTGCATCCCTCCAATCAACAGCAAGCGATCCGACACAGAGACGTTCAACGAAGAAAGTAGTCCTGCCTTGCGACAACCTCTCGATGATTTTGAGGTGCTCATTTCAAATCCATCCGGTCCCGATGCTTTCTTTAAGCATAAGCTCTCGAACGTCTGAGCCATTTTCAGAACTGTGAACTCTTGAGTCAGCCATTTTGCATTCGCCTGTTATCGATGTGCTGAGTGGTAAGATCCTCTAAGGTACGATGTAATTAGATTAGAACATTTTAGCAAAGTGGTCGAGAATTACTGTTGAACCAATGGGACGCGATGCAGGTCTGTGGTGGCCAAACAATTTGCATGGCTGCGGTTCCGCCTTTCTTATGAGAACAGCCTTCTATTATTACAGGATTTTTCCGCCGGGTAACATGTATCTTCCTTCAAATTAGTCCGGAAGCTGCGGCCAGTGGTCCGCTGTCGGTTGTAAAAAACCAAATAAACAAAGCAAGGACGTAGTGTTCTTTATATTGCATACTGTAGCTAAAAAATATAAATATTATGGGTAACTCATAATAGTGCGATGAAATTAAAACTAAGCGGTTGAATACCACATGATGCTTCCTTGTGTTGCCCGCTTTGGCTACGTCAGACGTTCCACGGCTGTTGTTTATTGCTTAATGTGTAACGTTTTGGTTCTATATTAAGTCTTCTTTACGAAGAAAGACAGACATTCAATACTAAGCTTGTTTTTCTTTCTTGTCGTACTCGAAATCTTTCAGGTTACAACACTATGGGAATGACGTTCGGCCCACCCGCACAAAATCAACCTGCTCCTAATCCTCTAGCTCAGTCTCTGGAAAATATGCGTGCTCAACAACTTGTGTTAATGACATCGATACCACTCGCTGGCAGCGACTCATTCTTTAAGGTAGACATGAAAAAGGACCAACTTCGACCAACATCTTTAGCTTCGCAGAAAGCTGTCATCGAGGATATTTCCGTCAAGCCACGAACAATGCCTATAACCAAGGTGAAAGTGACGCCGGTCAGCCTGGGTTCGAGCAATATTAGCAATTCGTCACTATTTGCTGGTCTCGAAGACAGCGATGCGAGTCCGCTAAAAATACAGAGTCCGAAAAGGTTTACTATCAAGCCAAAAAGCCCGCCGGATAACGTACTTAGTCTATCTTTCTTTGACGTACCACTTAACAGTCCGTTATCAGATGCGCGAGGATCAAGTGCGAACGTAACATCAGCTGGAAGCGGCGTAGTCAGTGGCGCAGAAGCCGGTCCGTCCTCTACATGTACACCCCTTAGGGGTTCCACTGGTCTTGATTCAAGTGGCGGTAGTGGTCGAGAACAAAGAAAAGGCGCAGCTAATGACACTATTCGAGAAGATGATACCGCGTTAGTTGTTAGAAATGGTCATATGGAACAAACGATTCTCGGCGCAGAGGCTAACAAGGAGAACGAGAATCGCGTTGGAATCACTTTGCGCCGGCCTGGCTACTATACGAAGCCGCCACTGTCCGCATTGAGACTTGACGGCGCTGGCCAATGCTGGGTTGAGGACTTTACAATTGGCCGTACAGGTTACGGCTCCGTGATGTTCCCTGGCAGAATGGACGTGCATGGGTTAGATCTCGACAGTACTGTCGTGTTTCGCCGTAAAGAGATTACTGTTTATCCTGATGAGTCAAAAAAACCTGAGCTCGGTCAGGGCCTTAACAGACGGGCCGAGGTATCACTCGACGACGTTTATCCGATTCGAAAGTCGACGACAGAGAAAGAGCTGATCACAAATCCAGAAGAACTAATTGCATCTGGGTGGAGGCGACGTCTCGAGCTGTACACAGTCAAAATGGGTGCCAAGTTTCTCGATTACGATGAAAACACGGGTCGCTGGTCGTTTCGCGTCGATCATTTTAGTCGGTACGGACTTATCGACGAGTCTGACGACGAAGTAGAAATGGTTGAAACGAGGCCATTACCTCAGCAAGCAACGCTGCAGTTACAGCAGCAACAATACCAGCAACATCAACACCAGCAGCAAGATGCTTCAAATTTAAGAAAAATTCCTGTAGGAATATCCTCCGAGGAGAAGCAGATTAAGATATCAAGCGATGAGGATGTAGATCGCATGATGCATGTGACACTTGCAGCTGACAATGTGCTACCCACCGACAATTATCTCTTTTCGCCTGCGTCGTACCAGGTTAGTCAATGCCTGAATCGGGGAGGGCAAATATACCTCTGGGGCTCTAATCATGTGCCGGTTAATAAGATATATTGCACTAGTGAGATTACATTCATCATGTACTGCGTAATGGTTAAGGTCTTAGCACGTAGACTGCGAGTTGATCGAGGGATATGTTTAAAATGTTGGAGCGTTAAAGCAAAAGCAATGAAAAAGATTGACGAGAAAATTAATAGATAAAGTATTAATCAGTTCCACGACAAAATAGTATTTGTCATGCAGGTTGCTTGGAGGCATAAACAATTTGTCCTGCTTCTACTGTAGACGTAATATATCTATAATAACCTGAACTAATGGGTAGCTCAGTACCAGACGACCATGCGATAATATGCCATCATTAAGTTTATTATCAAACAGTATGATGCAATTCATGAACAGTTAATGATATATAAATGTTGTGTATGAAGCCTATATATATGTAGCGCCATGCACGTTACGAAAGATCGATTGGTGTACGTCATAAAAATCATCAAAACAACCGAGCAGCGTTGTAAGATTAAGATAGGCTTTTTCATACTCTTCGCGTGTGTAAGGGATAATATAATACTATGGGCTATAGTATTTAACTTTGGGTCAGTTGAGATCTGTTATTTTTACCATTCGCTAATGATGACAGTGACACTGCAGGCGTGTTGACTTTACTTATTCTTGCCGTATATACATGATGTAATTTTGTAGCTTGTTAAAAAAGGTAAGTTTGTAAGATGGAAAGCAGGCGGCAGGTGATTTCTAAAGCTCATTAGATTTAGGCCCCTTTAAAAGGTGTAAAGCCGTGTTGCATACTAATTTGTGTATCGCTATTCAATAGCAGTTGTCCACTCCTCAGCACCTGGGCACTTGTGCATCGAGCGGTTCGTCTCTACGGGTCAGTTTCGTTCTCATGTAGATATTATCTTTTCGTGTTTTGTGCGACTAGTTGAACTCACTGATTTCATTCAAGCCAGTACAGCCAAATGGTATTTGAAGACGTAATCACGTATAAGCTGCACTTAGCATTTGTCCAATTTGGATAAGCTCTGTATCCAGCTGTTAAAAATTAATATTTTCTGCGTTTTTCGAGATGCATTTGTGCAATTTTTTATGCATTACATCTAACTTTATGCAAAGCCGAAATGTTTTTCAGTATTCGGCTTCAATAAGACCGAAACTCAACTAATTATTGTCTCCCTTAGAAGCTTACACATACAATTTGGTAATTAAGGAAGTATAAAAAATTTCATATTTGTGCTATATTTTTTTCAGAGTAGAGGTCATTTCGCCTGAACAGTCGCACAAGCTGAAAGTACCAATATGTTTGTTGTTTATTGTTGCCCAGTGACGACGGTACATTATCCTTGCTGTCTACGACTACGAATTCTGATCGGTCTATGTACGAAATGATTGTCATGTATTACAGATGTGCCATTCAATGCAGCTGAAAGATGGAGAACTACAGGGTATGAAGGCTTCGTTGTTTTTGAATGAGATGGACGAAGAGGAACGAGAGTTCCGCGATCCAGCAAAGGGTGATATCGTCGACCAGTGGAGTAGCCAACAACAACAACCGTGTCATCAGGCCTACCCGATAAAGACGCAACCGAACGCGTGCCTTGTAGACTCGGCGTTGAAACCAATGATGGGTGACCGCGATACCAACGAGACATTGTTGGGTAAAAGCCCTACGAAGCAGCAGGACGTTGCATTACGAGCTGATAGGATTCATCAGCCCGTGGGAGTACCTCTTTCGGCTAAAAAAAATGTTGTAGACATACACGATGAATTTATAAGTAAGTTTGATAAGTTTCCCACGAGTCATACAAACTCCGATCCATTGGAAAGATGCCAAGTCGTCCACACCGCCGCTAGATTCGAAGTCGAACGGGTACCCGATGAAGCGTCGATCTATTCCTCTATTGGCGCCAATATCTACCCGAATGAGTTGGCAGGTTTTAATCGACTACGAATGCGCCCGTTTCTTCATCAGTGGACGCTTGCGAGGCTGTCAGATAAGACTTTAAGCCGTCCTCTTAATATTGCAATGCTTGGCCATACATCGGGCGCATCATCGGTTTCATTTGAGAAAGTCAATTTTCGGGGGTCCACTGAAACTCTAACAGAACTCATGAGGGTTCAGTTAAATAACTCTAATGTGTCATTCGACTCTAACGGACTCCCGTTATACGCACCGAAAGTCGGTGTTACGTTACTCCAAGACCACATACGCCGCCTGGCCGACCAACAGGACCTCCTCGAAACGGAATTGCTCAACACGCTGAAGCTATGTGATGCTCTCTGGGGTGATAGTGTTCCCGATTCGACCGACCTCGTTCAAATGGAGGCTTCCCGCAAGAGAGCGCTCTCTGCATGGATTACCGGAGTTATGGAGGGTGTCGTAGCTCAGGAGGTCGCCTCATCAGAAAATCGACTTCAGGCGATCATCAGCTTGTTGAGTGGGCATCAAATCGCGGCAGCCTGTGACGAGGCTGTTGCGCAGGGCGACTATAATCTCGCTACGCTCATAGCACAGGCTGGTCATGATCAGATAACAAAGCAAATCGCTAAAAGTATGTGCCTCCAATGGAGCGAATCACAGAACGACCAGATGATTGACGCCGAAAGGCTTCGCATATACGCACTATTATCTGGCTATCCTAGATGGACACTGAGTGATGGCACGGAAGTGAACGTATGCGCCGGACTTGACTGGTTGCGTTGCTTTGCCCTTCATCTGTGGTATTTATGCCCATCGAACATGAGTATCGCAGAAGTCCTAAGTGAGTACGAACAGGGGGCCCAACAGTATGCCACCAATCCCGAAGTGAAATACGGTCCAGAAGAAAGCGACGTTCATCAACATTATCAGAACCCTTTGCACGTATGTTTTCAGCTCATTCGGTTATTTACCGATTCGAGCCAGACAGTGGAAAAAATTTTATGCCCCGACACCGTTCTTAGCGTACATTCTCAGTTGGAATACCGCCATTGCTGGTTGCTTGGTCTGGTGTTACAAAGCCTTGAATACCAGGTGCCCTGCGCGGAAGAACTGCACGTGCGCATAGCTTGCCAACTAGAGGCCCAAGGTTTGTGGCAATGGGCTGTTTTCGCTCTGCTCCACATAGGCAATCCGCAAAGACGACAGAAGTGTGTGTATGATCTTATCTGTCGGCACGCCACTGCCACTGTAGAGCTATCTGAAATGGACTGTTTTTTGACTAACACATTGAAGGTCCCGGCAACATTGATCTACAAAGCAAAGGCCCTATGTGCTAGCTACGAAGGCCGACGCGTCAACCAGACCAAGCTGTTGATCTTGGCTGAGGAATTAAATGAAGCTCATGAGGTGCTCAGTAATCATCTCGCCGTAAAAGCCATCATCAACGAACAGTACTCACTGCTTGCAGATCTGCTACAGAAGTTGAGCACAGGGAGCGTTAAAATACCCAATTGGAATCAACGTGGCAGGGTCTATCTCAACTATATTCAGTTGACAGCCCTCCTAAAAGAAGTTCTTGCCGCCAAGGACGATGAAAAGGCCATCGAGCGCATCATTTCAGGAACCGACCACACTCTTGAAAGTGTTCTAGCGTCATTAACGTCAAAAATCTCACGCCTTCCGAGTGGGACTGCTGAACAGCGTCTTTGCCAAATCGAAATGTCAAAAACGACTTTTACCGCATACAAAACTGTTCTTACAGTAAAAAGCATGTCAGACCCCCACCTTAAAAACAGCGCAGTCCGTGCTATATGCCAGCTGCTCAGAAAACTGGCATTGCCAGAGGACACAGTTGCGCAGGAATTTCGGAAACTCTCCGAAGAATATCCCGAATACCTTCCGTATATGGAGGTATGAAATAAAGTAAATGACATAATTTGCTAAGGCAACGCGCAGCCGATTCGAGCAAAAACAGGTATCGACAGCAGTTGGCAAGCGAATGAAACATCATGTTCTGAAACTGTGAACTTTGTAACAAGCTTATGAATAGATATTCAGTCAATTTGTCATTGTGTATCTGTATGTATGGGTGTGGATGAACAATAATAGCGTTATTGCAGAAAAAACGAAGGATCTGAAGATGAAGTCAAAATATGTGAAATATGTATTCAAGGGCGGGAGATGTGTCCTTCGACCTCTTTAGCGTTAGAATACATAGGGCCCTCGATAGACGGTGCGATATTGTATCGATAACGTGATTTCGATGGTATTAACAATGCATTTTTTTTATATAACTAAATACGTGCCACCGTATATAATGACGGCAAGAAATCTATACCAGTGGACTACGTGTAGCATGTTTTCATTGACTACTGCAGCGGCCAAAAGTGCTGTGGTGTAAACTAAAAATGCTAGAAATAATTTCGGAAAAAATTATCTTGTATATGAAGAAATGTATTTCCACAAAGTGCTGTGTAACGAGTGAATAAAGTGGATTTATTAAATCTTGTGTTATTAGATGAGTATATTTCATATATATAGATACATCTATTGAGTAGCAGGGACCTACACGGTGGAGTATGTATTTCGACCTACCAGTACGAGCAAAAAAATTATGTATTTTACAAAAATGTTTCAATTGAAACGTTTGAATATGTTAGAAGTATCGCTTCTAATGGTCACGTTCATTAAATATAACCACCATCTTTTTCATACAAATGGGATCTGAGGCACTCTCTAATTATTAAAGTATTTCTTCTTTTGCATAATAACAGTGTATCAAGTCGTATTGGTATGTGTAAACTCCTTAAAATGTTGCCAAATATGTTACATACAAAAAGCTATGGGTGGATAGCAGATCAACCGTCCAAGAAAGTAAAGCTTCAAAACGACTACATTAATCCAAATGAGACAGCGCTGAAAATCTCAAAAACACTAATTATTGAAGCTTACGTGGACAATTAAATCGGCTATTGATATTCTGAAATTTAAATCTGTTACACAAAATTTAGACGGATCAACAATATTTTTTAATCCCCTTTGATGAATTTTCAAACCCTTACTGAAAATATTCAGGTTTGCCTTATGCACATTTCAGAAGCTGCATGAAAACTGGCAATACTATAGCCTGTCGATTTTGGGCAAAGAGTAGGTTTTTAATCTTGGTAATGGTAATGTTTCGTTTTGTCTGAAGATATTGTGCAACAGCTGATCTTCACTCAAATTGCAAACACGACGTACTATTCCCACGATGAATTTTTGTTATTCCATAAGAAACTGACTGTCTATTAGTGTCATAAATAACAGATGAACGGGCGTCCGCTGTGACAAACAGCCCAACAGTCTGTCCGATTTGTAACATTACTTTTATTATCGAAATTATTTCACTTCATAGTTAACGTATCACATATACGTAGCTAGTAAATATTAGAACTCAATCAGCAGTTGACATTACATCATTGTATTACAAAATATTAGAAAAACTTACAGGCCCACAAAAGTTAGTGTAAATATATTAAATATGAGCTAGTTAAATGAGAAATTACGTATGCGTTCCTGTAGTTGCCTTTAAGTGTTGTTTTTTCAACTTAATCTTGGTTGTGCCCGTTTAGCATTCCCTGACGTTTGCAGTACTCACGAGATGTTTAATTAGCTACATTTGACACACCTAGATACTACATGGTTCAGAAACTGCTTTAACGAAAGTTTATGCGCCGCCATTTCCAAAGGTTTTTATCTACTTATAAATTACTAACTACTACCAAATAACTTGCCTAACAGATTAAAATTAAATAAAAATAAAATTAAATAAAAATAAATAATAACCTTAAAATAAAATTAAAAGAACGAAAATGGCCAGTTAAATAATTTGATTGTTTGCATTTGTGGAAAAAATCTCATTATTATCCGCGTTTCCCAGTGAATTTAATGTGAATAATGAATTTAATACCACCCTTCTAGTAAATAGTAGAGTTAATACTAATACTTTAATAAAGTTAATACTAATACTTAATTATGGTAATGTATAATAAAGACAAGCTTTGGTCACATATGATTTGTTGCATAATTTATTTACAGTTCGCGTACGAACGATGAGGCTCATTGGACAATAAACGGCGGCCAGCTTCTCCGCATGGGTCGATCACAGGCGCACCTTGTGATATGGAGACCGCCTTGTCAATTGATATAAATAGGCAAAGTTACAAGGATATTATACAAACTAAACGCTAACTAATTATCATACATCAGACATTCTATTAATATTGTTTTCGTGCGCAAAACTATTTAGGCTAAACAGTCGTACGTCGAAACACCGGTTCCATTCATAGAAGCCCATGGGAAATGCCTAATTCAAAACAAATCTGTTTCTTAGCTCGGCAATTGGTCGGCAAAAATTGGTCCTTTGACTGGCAGCGGCATATCTATGTATTTTTACAAGGTGGATTGGCTTTCCTACACTCACATCCGATGCTGTTAGCAGCTAATCAGTTTATTGTACAACCCTAAAACATAAAAACAACAGTGTTTTCGTACTGTACTAGAAAAGCATCCACTGACCTCCACAGGGACAGCACCGCAGCCATCTCTGTTCCCACGCTCGCATAACACTTAAATTCTGGCTCGATCTAAGCATCGACAAGCTGAAGCAACGCGTACACTTTCTCACTTGGACAACATGCTTTCCCAGTGAAATGTGCCGAACAATGTCTGTATGTGAGGTGCTCCGCACGGACCCCTCAACGGTTCCAGCTGTTTTATGGTGATGAGTGGCGACAAAATCCGCCATCATACCAAACTCCAATGCTAACGGAAGTGGTTGAACAAACAGCGCTGGTCCACAGACGCCTTCGTGTGAATGGCTGGCTAGGTCTAGGGATGGTATAAGAATTTGGGATGGAAGTACACTGCACTCCTCTAGCAACGTCGCGTCCGGTTCCGAGCCATGATTTATCAGCGTTTTCGTGAGTAGCTTGAAGAGAACGCCAAGCACATCTAGATTTTCCGTCATACGCGTATACACCGGCAAGCAACTCTCTGACAACAGACCCCACATACGGAAAATTACCAACAGTTCTCGGATGGTGTTAATGCTCTTTGCATCTTGGATGAGACCACCACCAGGAAAACGTTGTCGGTGGCATATCTGCAAAAATAGAAACGGCAAATCCAACGATACAAAGTTCAGTGATTTGTAAGCGTTAGGAACCACGTACATTTTAGGATCTTCTTGTACATAAAGATAATGAACTATGTTGACGAGACCAACTACTTTATCTTGAATATATTTAAAGAAAAAGAGGTAGGAGGAAAAATAACCAGAAAAAGAGGTTATTTTTCTAAAGTAATGCTTAACGACAGCATCGAAAGTAAAATTCAATACACTTAACTTACCTGTAATGGCAGTGAAGCCATGAGATGTAAGGCTAAGTCAGAAACCCACTGAACATGATGTTGAACTGAAGGAAGAATAGCTGGTTCAACAAAAAATTCCCTCGTGTCGAGATTCACAAGAACTTTGTCCATTGTGTTGCTTACTTGCGCGCGATCATTGATTAACGCCGATAGCGTATCTGCTGGACCTCCATCTGGTTTCGTCTCCCTAGGTCGAAGTAATGCCTTAATTCCGCAGCTCACGGCCGACAACATCATCTGAGCATGGCAATCACCTGCCTTTATAAAACCCATGTTTAGAAGACGATACAGGCTGCCTTTGATGGCTAGAAAGCGACTTTCATAGAACTGTTGTATGCCAGGAGGTTGTTTATCAAAAACCTCGCAAAGTTTTTCAGACACCTTCTCGATGAGGCCTGGTCGTAGGCTTACAAGAACATCCCACCAGTCAACTCCTGTACATGACAAAATGCAGTAATAATTACTATAACATAGATGCCACTAGTATAATACGTGAACACTTAAGGTGCTGAGCAAAGACAACGGTAATTTATTGTTTAATAAGACTATAACGGAAAGCGATTCACTCAGCAAGAACTAACCTGTAATAAGACAGTATTCGAGAACAGTCGCTGCAAACGGCACGCTTATAGGTGCTCCTGGCTCGGTAACTGGTGGTAATCTGAATAGCGCTAGCTGTGATAGGCTGTCGATAGCAATAAGTACACATCCTGTGTGACTGATACACATATATGATATTTGTCCATGCTGTTGACTCTTGATTGCATGAGGACTAACCATAGTGCTTACACTACTTAAACACGTTAGCTTTTCACGGGCAAAGCATTTGACACTGTGATCCTTAAATGCAACGACTATACACGACTGTGGTCGACTTAGCTCGTAGAGGCTGAGCCGCGGGGTTGCAAGTGCCGCCACCGGTGAAGCGTGCGAACTTACAGCGTGTAACCTCCAGCTGACACTTGTTCTGTTCTCGCATTTGCCGACAAGCGGATGCAAACTAACTGTTTCCTCCGTAAGTTCCCATAGCTCTAGTATGCCTTGCTGACCGTTCGTAACTGATACAACGACGGCATCCGAGGCTTCCTTTAGAACACATCGAAGGTGGGTGACTCTTCGATAGCCTTCTTCATTTTGCGAATTCGGACAGAAACCGGAAAACGGCTCAATATTTATTTGACATTTGTCCTGATCCATGACGAGCACAATAGCGAAGCATCGAACTGGAGAACGTGACAGACCATCGCTGCAGATAGCAATAATCGACCCGTTTTTACCGTAATTAAGGTCGACAAGCTGTAGTCGATTGCGAAAGTATGTTAACGGCTGTGACGAAGAAACTATCGAATTATCACCGCACAATAGGACAACACACACAAGACCCGATGCACTAATTGCCAGACATCCCTCAGATCGTTTGCCACCCATTCGCTTCATTGATGGTTCGAACTTCAGATGAGAGTATTTCTCCAGATACATGCAACTATCCTTTTTCTCTATATTCACAGCGACTTTCTTGCCGCTATGAAACCAGACGCCGGCAAGCAGATGTTCCCCGGGAAACTTTGTTGTTGACACTAGAGTCCACTGGTTGAGTAGAAAGTTGTTCATCTGAAAGATGAGGATAGAACCAACAGCGTCGCCAACCATAAGTCTCGTGCCACTTGAGTCCCATTCAAGACAAGTAATCTCCTCGTTATGGTTAAGGACTTGCCACGGATGCCAAGGCGTATTCAGATCTACAACGTACACCCCGAACGACAGAACTCTACCAGGACCATCCAGAGAATCGGCTGTGAATGCCAGTGCACTTCGAGACGATACGGAACACTTTAAAGCTCTCTCTCGCCATTCCGCATTCGGAAGCGAGGACGGTCTTCGAAACACGGAGTAAACTTGCTCCATGATGTACCTAGTAGATTCGGGCCCGCCCGGTAATCACCTTGAATGCAGGACTAAGATTAGTGTGACCACTATCGTATGAGCATTATCTATGGTCTGTTTCTACATTACCGGCTTTTCACATGCCGCAAACCCTGCGAACACATTACAACTATATTCAATTGTAAACAACGGCTCATTCATCAACAACCATCGACACGCCATCAAGTCGATGGGTAGCCGTAGAGCGGTTGCGGGCTGTTGAAATCTTGGCATAATATCGTCTGCTTCAAATGTTCGCGCCTTGCTTACGCGTTGCATGCGTAAAAGCAGCTTATACACTGCGTATAAAGATGTTTTATACGCAGTGTATAAGGCCCCTCAGTCCCTATAAGCTTCGAGTTTTTCAGAAGAGACGGCTACAAATAAGTACAATATATATATA